GAAAGAGTGAGACAAAAAGGGGGCCTGGGCCAGAGAAAATAGAGGAGAATGCCCAGTAAGACTGGTCAGAGAAGGAAGAGAAAAGTCATGAGCACGCATTGTCATGAAAGTTGAGGATGTGGGGACCAGCAGTTAGCGTAATGGCTATGTGGCTGGACTCCCACGTAGTCGACCACGATTCGCGTCCTGGACCCGGTGGCTTAAAACCACGCTGGGCGCATGTGCGTGCGTGCCCAAGATCCTGAGAGGAGAATGGAGGAGAAGGGATTGCGGCATGACCATCCCCCCTGGGGGGTGATTTCTCGCTTTCTGTTTCTCTGTCTCTCTCTGTCTGGCGAGCACAGGCGCCCTATGGCAAAAACCTCTCTAAAAAAAAAAAAAGTTGAGGATGTGACTATTTATTTATTTATTTATAGAAATTTTTGCTATAGCAAGTGTGTGCTCACCAGAGACACAGAAAATGAGAAATCATCCCCCAGGGAGATGGCCACACCACAATCCCTTCTCCTTTATTCTCCTCTTGGGATTTTGGGCATATATGCACACGTGCCTGATGTAAGTTTTAAGCCACTGGGTCCGGTACTTGAACCGCAATTGTGGGAGTCTAGCGACATAACCATTATGCCATCTGCTGGTCCCAAGGATGTGACCATTGTAGGGAGGATATATGCTCCGATTGCGAGTGTCCAATTCTGCTGAGGTGTGTCCACAGGGCACTTGTGACCTTGACGGTGAAGATGGAGCCAGCGCCTGGGTGGTACTGATGTGATGGTGACAGTGGGCATCACCTAACAGGGGTAACTGTTCTTCATCTTCTCATGTGTAGGCAAAAATGGGTTTATTGCTAAATCCCATAAATGCTTTATGTATTGAGCACCTAATGGACTGGACGCCGTGTCTGGAGCTGTGGATACGATGGCAAATCCTTGAAGCTCTAGTTGACTAGCAGGAGACAGACATTCTCATTCACATCACAAAACAATGTGATGGAAATGCTATGGGGGAGACAGAGACACACCAGGGAATTTGTACACAGCAGGACCAGGTCTACGAGGGAAGAGCAAAGGGCAGGCAGGAAAGGTCTTAGAATGCAGGGAAGAGGGCAAGGTTTGCACTGACGGGGTCATCGCTGGAGCTGTTCATTGCAGGGTTCGGATCTCAGCTTGCAGTGGAGGAAGGGCATTTGTGCATGCCCAAAATCTCAAGAGGAGAATGGACTAGAAGCAATTGCAGCATGGCCATCCCACCTGGGGAATGATTTCTCACTTTCTGCCTCTCTGCCTCTCTGTCTCTCTGTTTCTCTGACGAGCGCACACATCCTATAACAAAAATCTCTCTTGCAGGAAAAAGAAAAGCAAATTCTCAGGCCTTACCCCAGGCTTACTGAAACAGCAGCTCCGGGTGGAGCCCAGCAATCTGAGTCTTAACAAACCCTCCTGTGGATTCGGAGGCAGCTCACACTGGAGAACCACTGCCTCGCTGATGCTGACAGGTGCAGTTGCTTTAAAGGCAGAATAGGAGGAAAAGGTCATTCTAGTAAAATGTGCTTGGAAAAACCTAGTAAGATACTAATTAAATGGTGAGGCTCGACAAATCCTAGGGAAGGATTTTAAACAAAGAAGTTTAGCATTGCACCCATCTCTCACGAGCAGAGCCTCACTAATAAAAGACTAAGGCTGCCTGGCCGTGTGCACGGCCCCCATGGTGCCACACCAGAGAAAGACATTGTCGCAGAAGAGGTACTCCGAATCTCGAGCATGGAAGCCACAGCCCGAGATAAGCCCAGGAGAGCATTTGCTATTTGCCCCTTGGTCTTACTGATTTAGAAAATGCTCCCGAATGCTTCGAATCGGAAAGGTGCAGAAGACCCAATGCTCCCTTCTGCAGAGTGAGTCATTAGAGCTGAAGTGGAGGCTACGTGGTAATGGGCACTATTTAAATGAAGCCAAAAGTACCATTTTAAACGCTTGCTTTTTTAAACTGTCAAATAAAAGGAATCCATTTGTGCATGTGAAATTATTTCAACAGTTCTATTGACTGAAAGCAGGTGAAAAATGTCACAGAAAATAAATGTTCTGTGAAAAAGCTGGTTAAATGTTTAAAGACAGATGTCTAATGACTTCTTTAGCCTGCTCTGGATACAAAATGCCTATTTTCACCAGTTCTAGGTGAGAAACATGGGCAAACATTTAAAAAGAAAATTAAACCTGAATAACAAGATACCATCTTGTTCATCAATATTGCTTTAACCAACGTGCACTTAGCGTTGTCTTGTGGACAAGACAACAGCAGATGATCACTTCACCTATTTCCTTTGGCTTAAATTTGATGCCAAAGGTCGTTGGCTAGCTTTCCAAGTGACTTACTGAACACCGTGTTTTCAGTGCTCTGTTTGCTATTGGTGAATACATCCTTGTCAAGTTCAATGAAAAGAAAATTCTGGAAAAGTCACTGAGAAGTACCCGTTCAGTCACTGGTGGACCCACCTGGTGGAGGTCACCTCTATGGAGCTGAGGCTAATGTGAATGTCAGCTTCTGCCTCCATTGTTCAGGCATCTTTACAGACAAGACAGAACCCTGGTCCTTTCCATTCATCCCCTCTGAGGGTTTCCACTGCAATTAGTTTTGTGTTCATGCCTTCACTGTCTGTTGGTGCTGAAATGGAGTTGCTGAAATAATTAGCTCATCTCTCTCCTTGCCCTCGGGCACTTTCACCCGTGCCACTACGCCTGGATAATACGCTTCCTCAGTCCAAACGGAAACTTGCAGGTGCTGACTGGCTGGAGGCATTGGGCAGGCGCCAAAAGGCAGACTCCTCTCCCTTGTATGTGCACACAACCCTCCAGGGGATCTTGATAAAAAACGCACACTCTGACTGGGAGGCCTGCATGTCTCACAAGCTCTGGGGCAAGGATGTGCTGCTCAGGCCCCCCAGTAGGGAAGGGGAACTCCCGGCACAGCAGCGCTGTTGAAACCAGACTTCACAGCCTTTTTCTAAGGGTCTGGCTGGCTCCCTTTTGATTCAGAGTTCCTTGAAAGCAGAGACTGGGGACTGGGTCTTTACACATTGTGCTGTGGTCCCCTGGCTGGCAGTTGGCACAGGGCCGGCCCAAGGTGGGTATTTTTTATGCAATTGAACAGAGTTGGCCTTGCTCCGAAAAAGATTTTAAATGGCCTTAACCCCTAGTTGCCGAGACAGGTGCGTGATGAATTGGCCAGGTTCCTGCTAGGGGTGATTACTCCTCTTCAGTTACTCCGAAGGTCGCCTGCACCTGGATTACACCTCAGCTGCTCTTCTGAAATATTTCCTCCTGCTCCATTTTAAAAGTGGTTTACACTAGAGAGAGGATCAGAAAGGAGGAAAAACAAAACCAAACCAGAAAAGCCCTGCGAAGCCGTGAGAGCTCCGAACATCTAAAGCTCCACTCTCAGGGCTGGTGGAGTCGCAGAACTCTGGGGTTTCTCTCCCTGACTGGTCTCCATCATTTTGCAGGTCGGTGTCGCCCCGCCAGCCAGGTCCCCCGCCAGCCCCCAGATCCCTGCAGGAGCCCGCCCCGGCGGCGGCGCGGGAGGGCGCCTATTGGCTTGGGGCGAGCCTGTTTGTTAGCGCAGTTCAAGCAATTAATCTCGTGCATCTCCCGCCCCGAGGGGGTTGTGGGGGCTGGGGTCGCCTTGGCGGTCGTGGGGAGCAGGACAGGAGGGACCACTCTGCAGAAGCCCTTATTTCCAGAGCCCTCGGCGATGCCATAACCTGTTTCTCTCCGCAGCAGCCAGGGAGGGTGCAGCAAGGCTCGCTGGGGGCTCCGTGGGGAAGGAGGGCGCGGACAGGGGACTAGGCAGGGCGTTACGTCGGTCAGTAGCTGGGCCTCAGCGGGAAGGGAGGAGCGCACCGGCGAGTGCGCCCTAGGGGAGGAGTACACGTGCTGGGGAGGGGGGGTGAAAGGCAGGCGGGAGGGGAGGAGTAGGGAGGCGAGAGCTACAAGCCGGAGGCGCCGCGGTCTCACAGACGCAGGCGCGGGCAGCAGAGGAGCCAGAGAGAAAGTTCCCGGGGAGAGCTCGTCCCCGAGAGGGCCCACGTCGAGGCCGCTCCCCTAGAGGGCCGCAGGTCCCGCGCGTCCAGCCCGCCTTCCCCTGCGCGCTCTCGGCCGCCCGGGCTAGGCTCGCGGGGGGGCAGAGGGGGCTCGCCCGGC